GAGTCATCTCCGACTCATAGTGATCCCTCATTGGATGTTATCTCTATGGAAGTAGATTGCCCAACCTTCCTTCTGAGAAGAGGCTGGTGGGTTTGAACAGCCAACCTTCTGGATAGCAGTCAAGTGCTTAGGCACTACACCACAAGAGGTCCTAGTTAATAAGTACTATTATTCAAATTTACACACCAACCACCAAAGCCAAAGATGAGGAAATTGAAGATTAACTTCTGTAGTCTGAAATTGACTGAACATGCAATCAGGATTTGTTAATTATCATTGGTGACTAGAATGCAAAAGTTGGAAACAAAGAAGAATCACTGGTAGTTGGAAAATTTGGCCTTGGTGACAGAAATAACGCTGGAAATCATGTGATAGAATTTTGCAAGACCAACAACTTATCCATTGCAAATAGCTTTTTTTTTTTTTTTTTTTTCAACAGCACAAATGGGGGCTATGCATGTGGACTTCCCCAGATGGAGTACACCGGAATCAGATTGACTACATCTGTGGCAAGAGGTGATGGAAAAGCTCAATATCTTCAGCCAAAACCAGGCCAGGAGCTCATTGTGGAACAGACCATCAACTGCTCATATGCATGTTCAAGGTGAAGGTGAGGACAACTAAACAAGTCCACAAGAGCCAGAATATGACCTGGAATATATCCCTCTTGAATTTAGAGACCATCTAATGAATAGATTTGATGTATTGAACACCAGTGACCGAAAACCAGAGGAATTGTGGGATGACATCAAGAATATCATCCATGAAGAAAGCAAGAGGCCATTAAAAAGACGAAAAAAGGAGAAAAGACCAAAGTGAATGTTAGAAGAGACTCTGAAACTTGCCCTTGAAGGGAGAGTAGCTAAAGCAAACAGAAGAAATGACCAGATAAAAGATAAAAGATAAAACAGCTGAACAGAAGATTTCAAAGAGCAGCTCCACTGGACAAAGCCAATTACTATAATGAAATGTGAAAAGACCTGGAGTTAGTTAGAAAACCAAAAGGGAAGCTCATGCTTGACATTTCTCAAGCTGAAAGAACTGAGGAAAAAAATTAAGCCTCAAATTACAATACTGAAAGATTCTATGGGCAAAATATTGAATGATGCAGGAAGCATCA